GGGCGGGGGGGGCGGGGAAGGAGTGTAGAATTGCAGAGGAAAGGTGGAATAGCTTGGCGTGCACATTAGCTTTGACTCTAATGGATTGCCTCAAAGCTCAGGACGGTACGGCTCTGGTCTGCACTTCTGTGAGGAGGCCTCCTCAGAAGAGCAATCTATACTTCCTTTTACAAATACTTTAATTATCCTGTTGCAAATCCTGTCTCCCTTCCCTGGGGTTTAATATGCCACATCGCTTAGGGGAACAAGTGGTTCCAAATATTAGGAACACCCACGGTAGTTCTGGAAGAGCTGTGACTCCGTGAGAAACTTCCTCTTCTGCCGTAGTAGTGAGACAAGCTCTTTTCAGTTGACTTCCCCCGCTCGGGGGACTAAGAGCCTCCTTCACGGGTGAGCCTGAGGCGTGTGGCAGATGCAGGGAGGAACCGGTACAGTTCCGGGGGCCTTAGTTTTCACTCCCACCACGCCTTCCCGGTCGGACTGAGGGTCTTTCATGGAACAATTCGCGCCACCTCAGCTTGGGAGACTTGGGACAGAGTGACAGGTCCGAGGTGTGTTTATCTTAAGCCAAGAGAACCTGCTGGGTCTGGGCTCCCCAACTCTAGGGTGAGGCTTGGTGGAGCAGTGGCCACACCTGCTGGGACAACTCCAAATGCTCTCACTTGGTTTCTGACTTTGGAAATTTCAGGCTACAGGAATATACGCTGCTTGAAAAATATGTGAGGTGTGTGGAGTCAACACCAGGTCTCCCTCAATCCTCCCCTCCTCCTACCCGAAGCTTACTTTCCGTGTGAGGTGACCGTGGTCAAGGGCACCTCCTTCATGTGTGCACGTACATACAACACGCCCCAGAGCTACTGGGTCAATGGTAAAATTCTGAATTTAGAAACAAAATCTAAACAATTCCAGGTTTGTGAAACCACTCTATAAATGCACAAATTTAAATAAAAAGCAAAACCAAAAGCCTCATTCCTTAATCACATCTTGTATTTTATTTCTTATAATTAATGGCTAATGAAGGAAAAAAGTGTAGCACCCCACTATTTTAAGACAGCAACTGTAACTTAAATGCTAATCTACTCCATAAAACAGGGAGCCTTCCCCCAGGGCTGTAGTGGGCGTTTATTAAGTCTCCCGAACCCAGGGGCAGCTAATCAGTTTTATTACTTATCAAACATAGGAAAAAATTACATGTTATTATTGTTTCCCATAGCTGGAAAATTTCACAAACAATACATTTTCTCCATGTACACAATCCCTTGACTCAAACCAGAAGCTAGCTACCAAAATACCTACAATTACGATTCTCAGACTGGAGCCTGGCTGCTTCTGAGGGTTATTTGGTGGGATGCCAAGGAGCATTGCCCACGATAAGGTGCGTGTGCTCCATCTGTCCAGAGAGCAGTGTCTACTTGAGGCTAAGGAATCATGTTTATTTTTCAAAAATGTCAAACGGAAGCTTTTTCCCCCAAATGAAATACAGGGAACCACATACATAAAACAAGTTTTAGGAGCCAGCACTGGCAGCAGTAGTTGGCTGATATGAATTCTCACTGCACACATACCCTAGGGGTGCGCACAGCCCTCCCCCACGGCATGCCCAGGGAAAATGCTTGGCACACCAAGCCTCACTGCCCTGAATCTCTCAGTTCAAAGACTGGGCGCCCTGCCTGGGACACAGAAAGGTCTATGGGGGTCCAAGAGCCACCAACACTGTGCCAGTGTTGCTTGCCTTTTTTTCGGGTAAATGCTAGTCAGAGGTAGCAGAGCTGGTCTTTTATGTGCTAAAGTCCAGCTCTTTAAATTTAACTTTTCTGGCTTTGCCTTTTTGGTTGCAATAAATTTCAACAAATTACTAGTTCTGCTCGTGTTACTGCAGCTCTCAGACCCTGTGGCACCTCGTTCCAGATCACAGGAAACAGATACATGTTCCCAAACTTTGAGAAAGCCCTGAACGTTCCCACACAGCTTCCTGCCCTTTAATCTAGTTTCTGAATATTCTGGTTCTTTTCCTTCTTTGTATATTCTTCTAGTCGAAGAAGCCACTTTGCCCAGTACTGGGAGCAGAGCTCTGCGTCCATGAAATGTGGGTGGGCAGGGGACCCGTCTTTGTAGGCAACCACGATCAAGCCGCACTGAACCTAGGAAGGAACACAGGGCAATTCCAGCATCTCCACAGTAGCAACAGAGTTGAGGTCCATTTCCTTCTTACTCCAGGGCACACTCAGAACAAAGCAATCTACAGTAACAGCTCCTAACTCAATTTCTAAGGTGGGTTGATGAAAGACTGGCCCAGGATACACAAGAACACAAAGATGACAGTTAAGACGCTAAAGAATGGACTGTGATCATTAAAGATTAACAACAACAAAAAGCCCAGGAAGAGGGGGAAAGTGCTTTTTGAAGTGGTAGAAGGACAGCAACAGAGTAAGCAGTGGGTTACAAACAGAATAAAACCCTAAGGAGGGAAGGAGCTATATAACCCAGCATCGAGCAAAGCTTTAAGTAAGCGGATGCTCCGCATCCTGACCTGAAAGCTGTAGTTGATGTCATGGTTTATGGCACCAACATACGCCACGACTTGCAGCGGGTTGTCAAATGTATTTTGGATGAAAGGCTTTTGCTTCTCCGATGTCTTCCAATCAATCACACACAGCTTGCCCCTAAAGAGAAACCAAAGGAAGCCCTTGAAGGTAAATAGCGTCTTAGCACACTAAAACGCTATTAGGCTAAACCTCTTCTTACACATAGTTTGCTACTTCTCATCCAATGACTGTTGCTTCTATTCCCCACAGTCCAAGAAGACGGCTCTCCTGAGCTTTACTTAGGGTTGAAGAGGTGTGACATTCTCTTTCCTTTGAGCCCCTCATTCAGGTCAGCCACGAGGTATGACGGAAGATGCTTCCTAAGTGCACCCATGGGAGCTGCAGGTGCGGGCCCAGGTGCGAGTGCTGGGAAACAACTTCTCCAGCACAAGCTTCTAAACTTTCTAGACATTTCTTTGGACCTCCATGGTTTAACAGTTGACAAGGGAATTGAAACTATTATTATCTTAGTTGATTTGGCTTCAAACGTCTATCAGAACGAACCACAACAGACCAGTAGCAAAGTCCCCATCGTAAAGGACTAAGCATCGTGGTGCCTCAGAAACCAAAGCTGGAGTTCAAATCCATCAACACTTAACAGGCACCAACTATATGCAGAAATGTAAATAAGAAGACCTGGTCCCTGTCCTAAAAGTTTACACACAGGGTAGGGATATTACTATTAGAGATACTGGGAAAATAGAAAAATTCCTGCCACTTTTTTTTAGTTAAATAACCGGTACATCCCCCACCCCCACCCCATCCCAGTGGACTTTTACACTTGCCAAGCACAGATGTCAAAAGGGCCACAGGGTGGGTGCACTGAGAACCGGTGATTTTCAAAGGGCTCTACCTGCTCACTTCAGCTTCAAAACCAGCAGTGTAGAGGGAGATCTGCACAGTTACCTTCCTGTCACCGTAGCACTACATTACAACTTATGCAAGTTATTTATAAAATCTATAAAGTCTAGAATAGCACCGTCTAAAGAAATAAAATGCGAGCTATACACATTATTTAAAATTTTCTAGTAGCTACATCCAAAAAGAAAAAAAAAAGGTGAAATTTTAATATTTTATTTACCCCAACGTATCCAAAATATCATTTCAATATATAATAGTAAAAAGTTATTAATGAGATATTTTACATTCTCTTTTGTACAAAGTCATTGAAATCTAGTTTGTATATTTACAGCATACCTCTGTTTGGACTGGCCACAGTCACGTGCTTACTGATGGCTTTTTATGGCTAAAGGCTACTCTACTGGATGGTGCAGGTATAGAGGTAACATGTCATCTTTATAACTGTTTTCTATTATTGTGGAGCTTGACAATCTATGCAAATGAAGAGAGGGCCCCAGCATCCCCAGGGCACTATCATTCCCAGTTCTCTCTCTTGAAAAAAATCAAAATACCCTACAGTAAAGACTTCTGCCACATACCACTGTTTCTAGCAATGTACTATAACTTGTAGAACTGAATAACATGGAAGAAAACTTAGTAGTATAAACCCAAATTAAAATTGTAATGAGACAGTCCACAAATAGCTCTTTAACAAATAAAAAGAGCTAATTTATTTTGCTCAGCCTAATTTATTTTGAAATGCAGGCTGAAATGACAAAACAGTGTTAAAACGCATGTTCCCTGTGGCCCCGCAATTTCCCTTTTAGGTCTGTACCATAGAGCAACGGTTTGCTATCCTGGGTGCAAGTGACACATGCCTGGAAAATTTAAGAAGTATTCACGCCCAGGCCTACTTCAGATCAACGGAAACCTCACATATCATTCACCAAAACAAACAAACCAACCAACGAACCCGTGCACCTGCCAAGAGAAACTCACGACAGAATAGGAGGAGACACGGTCACTGCTGTAGTTTGTGACTGAAAAACTAGAATAACCCGAGTGCTCCCAACAGGGAACTGGATATGGTTCATTCATACCCAACAGCAGTTAAAAAGAGAGAACAGGATCAAGAGAGAATAGGATCAAAATAATGTTGCTAACATTTACTGAGTAGATAGTATGCATTTTAAGTACCGTATAGGGAATGTCTCATTTAATGTCTATAACAAACCTATGAGGTAGGTACTATTATTTGCCCTATTTTACAGATAAACAAATTGAGGTACAGAGAAGCCAAAGCCAAGTAAGTAGCCCAGGGTTAAGAAGAAAAGCCAGAAACCAAACTCAGGCAGCCTGTCTCCAGAGCCCAGTAACTTTTAACTAGAGTTCCAAGGGTTTCACTCACAGATTTTCCCCTTATCCTATTGTATCGCTCATATGCTTTTTTCTTTTCTTTTCTTTTTTTTTTGGAATAGGGGTACCTGCAGGTTATATCTACCCTTGAAATCTGGAGTAAGTGGTGAAAACAGTAACAGAGCAGCAATTTAAAAGCCACGGGAAGCTTTATTAAGCTCAGAGTTCCTATCCATGTCAAACACTGCCTGGAAGCCAGGCAGAGTTGATTTTCAGGGCCAACAAATCAAGGTGCTATTTTTAGGGAAACAGGAAAGAAAATGCAGGAATCAAATTGGATCTTATGGCTGGTACTTTGCTTGGGGTGGGGGGGAGGGGGGGAACATGCTGGAAAACAGGCCATCCTAGGGATACTGGAAAGTTGTACCTTTTCTCCACGAAACACTTTGACTTCGGAATGTAGATTTACAAGGATGAGATGGCTCTTACCTGATGTGACTTTACAGAGGCCACACCTTGAAGCAGGAATTAAAAGGAAAAACTAGCATTGGAAGGGAACCATGTGTCCCACCCAGAATGAATTCACCTCCACACTTGATGTAAAAAATTGAATACTTACTGATAATCAGCTACACAGTCCAGCAGACCTACATACTTTAGGGTCTCATGTTTAACAGCACTTTCCAGAGCCTGCACTCCACTGACATCTCTCAGAACATGCTGGATACTTTGGATATAGCCAGATTTGAGGAGATTTTCATCAGGCTCTTTTAAGTTCTGCTGGGGTGATAGTATGCTTTCCAAGGCTTCATGAAACCGTTTCCCTTGTAAAAACATGTCTGAAAAGAAAATCAGGGGAAAAGGAAAACAACAGCAGTAACAAAAAACGCCCAAACAAAGCTAATACTAAAGAACAGACACTCTATAAAACTCTCAACAATCAAATGAAAAATTACATGAATTACCTTTAAGTGACAACCCCTAAAGACACCATATTTCAGCCTCTTGTGAAATACACTAAGAATGCACTTTGAAAACAAAAGGGACTAGTAGAGCTTAGATAATAAAATAGATTAAAATGAAGTATTTCTAGTAGCATTAGGTCAAAGCTAGAATTGAAGATCTGGGGGCTACAGGACCACACCTAGTGAATTCACACAGAATTTAAGTGTCCGTTTAATTTAGGTAACCAGTAAGTTAACTAGCTGTGATAAATATTAGGGAACTGTTCTTGTTTACAGTTCTTTTTACAACCAAATCTTAATTATGAACATAGGTGGAGGCATCCTTTTACCAACAGGCTTAGTGACTGCCAACGAGTGAAAATCAAGGCACACACAAATTAATGCTGTGGGATTTGGGGCAGAGGCGAGGAAAATATATGACATTCTTCTCCTGCACCTTCTTTTAGGGCAAGAACAGCCTACGACAGTGGCTCTGTCCTGAATTTTTTTTCCTCGTACACTTTTTTTTTTTTTGGCCTCCATGTAGCATGTAGGTTCTTGATTCCCTGGCCAGTGATCAAACCCGTGCCCCTTGCAATGGAAGCGTGGAGTCTTAACCACTGGACCACCAGGGAAGTCCCTTCTCATACACTTTTAAGAAAAGAGGACACAAACATATTCAACAAATGCAAGAAACACTAAATATTCACTTGACTTTTGATAAGGGAAGGAGAGAAAGAAAGAAAAAGAGGGTATTGCTGTGCTAAGCAGTGGCCTTGGCGCTTTCGAACTGTTAACTTTCAAACACAACAACCTGGCAAGATAAGGATCATCACCCCCATTGTAATGAAGAAGGCCTAGGCAGTGCTGTTAATTTGTCTCAAAGCAAAATGCTGGCCTGGGGCCTGGCACCAGAGCCTAAGGTCATTCTGGTCCCTCACACAGCAGAGTGAGAGATGAAAAATCAGGGACCATCAGTAAGATACACACAGAAACAGAGCAGGAGATACATGCTTGGAGACAGACCCACAGAAAATGAGGAAAACCATCTAATCTAATGAAGTAATGTCAAACCATATTACCTTTGTCAAGTATTTTTTACAAAGATTTTGAAAGGTCAGTTCTACCATTGGCAAAAAGTGGAATTGCTTCAGGGAAATTACTTGGAAAGTGAAGTGAAATTCAACTGAGGAAATAAGTTATTCTACTCCAAATTTACTTGGCTTAATTGTACTTATTAGCACATAAAAGGCCTACAAATTTAAGACTTATGGAATTAAAACCTAGGGAAAAGAAGAGCAGTATTTATCTACAGACTAGCTTTACTGAAGCAGAACACAAACATGTTAAAAACATGAAGGAAAAAAATTTGTTTATCAACAGCCAAGTGAACAGACAACTCATTCCCCACTGCAGTCTTAACCCCAGGGAGGTCTTCATATGTAAGGGGCAACAAACATGGGATCTGGGTTACAGAATCCCTTAGGATTGTAAAGCTGAGAACATTAAACGTGATTAAACTTGTGAAAATAAATCTTAAAAGATTCAAGAGTTATCGCAGATAGCATCAAGTCAGAGTAGTCACTCAATAAAGGAATAAAAGTGAAATGTTTTCAAGTCCCAGTAAATAAAATGTATTAAAAAAAAAAACATGAGTCTCCTATATTCTGACTGACAGTGTGGATATTTTAGAATTTGAAAAGTCAGTGTAGGACTCCCTGGTGGCACAGTGGTTAAGAATCCTCCTGCCAATGCAGGGAACACAGGTTTGAGCCCTGGCTGGGGAAGATCCCACATGCTGTGGAGCAACGAAGCCCGTGTGCCACAACTACTGGGACTTCGCTCTAGAGCCCTCAGGCCACAACTGCTGAGCCCACGTGCTACAACTACTGAAGCCTGCGTGCCTAGAGCCCGTGCTTTGCAACAAGAAGCCACCGCAATGAGAAGCCTGCGCACCGCAATGAAGAGTAGCCCCAGCTCACTGCAACTAGAGAAAGCCCGCACGCAGCAACGAAGACCCAACGCAGCCAGAAGTAAATAAAATAAATAAATTTATATAAAAATAAAAGGCAATTAGCTCCTGTATATAGTCCTTGCCCCAGGGAGCCAAGGAATTTACATGGGGCTCCGGCCTTGACCATTTTTGCCATGTCCAAGTGCCACCTAAATACTTAATATTTTTTCTTTAAAACACGTAACCACAGGTTTAATGTGTTATGCATACACACAGGTTTTTTTCTAAGATGACTCAAAATAAGTGCATTGCTCTTAAATTAAAAATTAAAGTGCTTGTGTACCACGAGGGGTACATGTACTGCTCTCTGGGAAGCATGGCCTAAGGAATGCTCAGGGTAAAACTTAGCTTCAACAACTGTAATCCTGATGGGGGACCAGCTAATTCTCCTGTACCATTGGTCTTTTCTTTCATCTTGCTTTTGAATGGAATCTGTTTTAAGAAAGCTATTCTCCTCACTTGTCTAAGAAGTTATTGAGTTAGGAGTTGAAGGCTGAAGTTTATCAATTCTCAGTTCCTAATGAAGAACATCTGATCATCTCAATTTACTAAGACCTAAATACAGATCACATGTTCTGGCTTTTTGCCCATCTTTAAATTTATGAGTCAGTCTCTGCTGATAAGCAGAGCAAGGGGGTATTTACTAGATTCTGAACAGAATGCCTAGCAAACAACCAGAATTCCATTATGAGGCGATCGACTCTCCCATAATCAAACAAAACAGGCAATTCTAATACTTAAGTTTGCAGCTTATAAAATAAATGAATTTCATACATCTTTAGTCAAAGTACTTGATCTCTGTGCTTCAATTTTATCTGTGAAATGGGGATAATAGTATCTGTGCTTCACAGGGTTGTCATGAGGATTAAGTGAGTTAATATATAAAAAATGCTGTTAATACTAATTATCATTTGAAAGTAGTTCCTCACTAGTTAACGTTAGAAAAAGAACAACTCATCCTTTTGACACTGGTGCTCTGTACTCTGGAAAACATAATAACCATACAGAATCAGGATTAAGAAAATTACTTGAAGTATATTCTGCAAAGCCATCCTCTCCCAGTTCCAGAATCATCCGACGTTTCCACCTCTCCAAACAGGAAATCTGTTCTGAGGTCATGGTCTGCTGAAGGATTCTGGTCACACTTGGTATCATATTCCTTTGCAAAGGGATTTTCAAAGGAATTGTAGGATCACTTGTTGCATTTGGTTTTCTGCTTTTCTCTGGATTGAAGAGAGGACACCAGTTTCGTGGAACTCCTGCTGCTTCTTGCTTTGGGGTCTTACACTTCCTCACAGGTCCGTAGAGTAAAGCATCTTCCTCAAACAAAGACCGTGGAACCTGAGCATGGCCTCTGAATGACAAGACAGACCTTACTAAATCAGAGTACTTTTCTTGGTCCACTTCTTCATAAGGGTTCACTTTTTTCTTCCGGCCACACAAATAAGAGGAAGTGGAGAAGACCACACGGAGGGCTGGTTCTACAGAAAACCCCTTTGAACTTTTAAGCTGCCTGCAGATGGTCTGAAATACCTTCATCTTTGGATTTTTTTCACTTCCCTCTAGTCTACTTGTAATGTCGAGGACCTTTTTAATTTTCGCTTTCCTATCAAAGAGCAAAGTGGTGTTAGATATCAAATGTGTTAAATATTTGAACCATCAAAGCGAAAGCTGCAACAGTATGATATTGCACATTAAAATTGTATTCGGTAAGCTTTTTCGACATGTTTAACAGAGGAAAACAAACCTGACTCCATACTGAGTCTATTCCTTTAGCTCTAACCTTTGTGCCCTTTTGCAGGGGGCTTAGTCTTTCGGCTCTGCACCTTTTGGAAAAGTACGTTGCCTATAGCCTGAAATACACAGGAGAACCCATTCTCAAGGCTCTGACCTTTAAAGGTATTAACACTTTTCCAATCATATAGAGATTAAAAAGTTGCAGAACAGAAAATAACGATCTTGTTGCAGGTATATAGGAACACTGTGACCAGACCTGCGTGGACAGCTGTAAGAACAAAGGATTCTGGCACCAAGAAGTGGGCAACAAGCAGTCACACCACCTCCCCTTTTAGTATAAAAGAAGCCTGAACTCTAACTGGGGAAGATAGTTCTTTGGGACACAAGTCCACCATCTTCTCTGGCTGCTGGCTTTCTGAATAAGGTCTCTATACTTTGCCCTAACAGCTCATCTGTCAATTTATTGGCTTGTCCTGCAGCCGCGCTTGGACTCGGTAATACTTGGACAAAACTATTTCTAAAGGACCGGCACCTGTTAAACGTGAAGTAGACAGCTTGGGGCCACATGTCCCCAGCTATGGAGCCATGTGCCGGCCACGAAGGTAGGCGTGTGTGACACAAAGAAACACAGGACGCTCGAGGGGCTGCGACAGTTAACAGTGCCTCCACTCATCCCTCAACACCAGATTCTCTGCTACGTATGCTGCGTGGAGAGTTCTCATCTAACCCCTCACACCCTCCAAGGTGGGCACCACTGCGACCCGGCCCGCTCAAGAAGCGGCACTCGCGTTCCTGAAGGGTCCCCATTGACCTGCCGGCCAGAGGCCATCAGCAGGGCCCACCGCCCGATCCCCGCTCCGGCGGAGGCGTAGCCCCGGCGGGGACAGGACGGCAGCGGCCCCTCGGGCGGGCGTCAGAGTTAGGGAGGGCCGGCAGGGGAAGTACCTCGGAAGCCGGCGCGCTCCGTTAGGCCCAGGGCACGACAATCCCGCGAGCAGGTACTTTCGTCAGTCCCGCGCTTTGCTCCAGACTTAGGCCCCGCCCCAGGCACGGCGGCCCCAGCATGCACTGCGGCGCTCACGCCCCACCCCTAGCCCCTCGTGCACCTCAGTGAACACTCGAGCGATCCGTGGGGAGGCCCTCCCCGCACGCTGAAGCGCGGGCGCCTCCAAATTTCGCCCTCTCTCTCTCTCTCTTTCTCTCTCTCTCTCTCTCTCTCTCTCTCTCACGAGATCTCGTTTACGTCAGAGCTCGTCGCCATCTTGGACTCTGGCTGAACAATAAATTCCCTCCCCTCAAGAGCGCGCACCCTTTCTTGAGAAGCGCCTCGCTGGGAGAGTGTCGGGGGCACCGCGTCCCCGTGGCGGCCGGTGGTCGGCGGCTTCTACGTGGCTCGGAGCGAGGGTAGGCCCCGCGTAGCTTGTTTGCCCGGCTCCAAGATGGACGGCAGCGGGGACGGGGGAGGCCGCCTTGGGGGAGCACGTGGGGCGCCGCTCGCCTTTCCCGGGGCTGCTGGGACGGTGGAGGAGTCGTGAGGCCTCCCGCCGCCGTCGGGCAGAGAAGCTGGCGGAGGCGGGGCCGCGGCCGCCCCCGAGACGAGCCCTGGCGGCGGCGGCGGCCCAGCCTCTTCTCTCCTCGCACAGCCAGGCGGCCACGCTCGAGGCCCGCGTCGCCATGGCCGCGGTTCCCGAGTTGCTGCAGCAGCAGGAGGAGGACCGCAGCAAGGTGAGGCCCTGGCCGCCCTCGGCCCCCGGGCCGGGAGGCCCCGGCGGTCACCCAGACCCCCACGCTCCTTGCCCTGGTTCTCGGGAGGGGCTCGCGGGGCAGGGGCCGGAGACGCGGGAGCGCGCGCTCGGCGTGGAAAGTTGCTAAAACTTCTCGGGGGAGACCGCGCGGTGCACGCGAGACCCGCTTTGCAGCAAACGACGGAGCTCGAAACCGCACCCCAGCCCCTCCAAAATACTGGGGAGATTCAGTCGAGTCAGGTATCGGGAGTGTATCTCTTGCAACTTCATAAGCGCCGGTGCGCCGCTCCGGGAAGGAGTGCTGTCATTTTTAGGAGGTGCTCAAATAGTTGAACTTAATTATCGCTCCTAAGATTTGCGTGTTGGTGTAAGGTACCCCCATGCCGCTTGCATCTTGAGGTCTCTAAAAGGTGACTAATATAGTCAATTCATGTCACCATAACCAACTGAAGGTTGAGGCAAGCCTCCACTTTGATTGGTCCTTTACTTAATAAGTTAGTTTGAAATATACAGGGGTCGGTATGAGCCGCAACGTTTTGTGCAGAATCGTCAACAGAAACGTTTTTCTAACAGAAAATGAAAAAAAAACATCTAGAACTTCGAGGCGCTCTGACATTTAAGTAACGTGGAAGGCATCTCTTTAGAAGTCAAAGGCATTTTTGATCTACAGCTCTTTGGAGAGACCTTTTCATCTAGTGGTGCCAAAGGTCGCACACGGCTGCGGGATTGTTCAGCGAGGGGGTCACTGCTGTATTAGTTACTGAAATGAAGCGTGAGGATAGGGTCTTGGTTGGGGTCTTTTTATTTCTTTCAAAGTGGAAAGAAGTAATTTTTTTTCCTTCCCTAAAGCCGGAAGTGGGAACTTGAGAACCATTCTTTCTAGAACATTCCAAAGGTAGTTTTCTCTCTAGAAGTTTAGATGGCTGAATAGAAATTTGGGTAGATGGATTTTTCCCCCCATCCCCCACCTTCCATCTTCTTTCTTGGTCCAGAATTTATTTTAGACAGCTCTTTACAACTTCAACCGACCTTCCTATTAGTATAGTATACCTGTGGTTGGTTTTTAAAATAACTTCCCCACCATTCTGATCCTCGAGCAAAAGAGGATTCTGAAGGTTGTTTCCTGCCTCCTGGTTTTAGTGACTACAGGAAAGGATTTTATAGAATTATCTTCCTGCTTTTCTTTTACTTGCAGAAATAAGGAAATAGTAAACTTAATAAAACATTACTCTAACACGTGGCTTCATTTTTCTTCCTGGTATCCGATACTAGTCCTGGGATGTGGATCAAGTCTAGATGATTTTTACTGTTCACCAAAGGGGAGTTTGGGACAAGAGTGGAATAACAGAAGGGCAAATCTTGGGCAAACTGTTCTCTTGCTGTAATTCAACTTTGTTAGTTAACTGAACTCTTTTACGTTTTTGCTGAAAATGTAAGTTTAAACTTTCTGATTGCTTTGGAATTTCTATGAGTATAGGGGTTCTTGAGGTTTAGACCTGTTAATAAGGCATGGAACATAATTAATTCTTGAGGATTTTGAGTGCTCCTGCAGAACTTTTGGCTAGTTCAGCAAAACAGGAGTACTGGCCTATATCCGGTAGCCTGGCACTTCCATTTAGTCATATCCTTTTGAGCTGAAGGTGTTGATTTGTCTCCTTTCCCAGAAAGCAGTTGCATGATTAATTTGTTCTTTAACTAGTCCTCTACTGATGGAAAGATGGTGTTTTGGTCTTTAAATTTAGAAAAGTAAGGTTTGGAAAGTCGAGCCCCTGAGAAATTTAACTGAACCTTTAACACCATTAGGCCGCGTCTTCACGATAAAGAAACTGGTGTAGTGCAGTCCCCGCCCCGCCTCCTGCACTGGCTGCATCAACATTCTAAGGTGTCTGGAGTTTTTAAAGGTTGGGGGGAGAAATGGAGATTATGCAGAACCTTGTTCCCATAAGATATTTACCCAGGCTTCCTGTTTGCCAAAAGGTCCTTTAAACAGCGGGCATCACGTTTAGGCTCCCACTCGCAGACTCAGTATATGTCTATTGTGATGAGTCTTGGTCCCGTTAGTCTTGCCAACCTACGGCAAATGGAGTGCGAGTCCTGATTATCTCCTGGGATTTTTATTATTCTTAACTTGTTAGTGGACTGAAGCAAATAATCACACAGGAGAATCTGTAAGGGCCCTCCCCAGCCTAGCGCTGTTACTTTCACCTTAACTTTCACTAGTTGGTTACATGGGCTTTGGGTGGACAGTGTTTCCTTCCCAGAGCCAGTCATTAATGTTTTACATTTATGCTGCTGCTCTGGTTTGCAGATTGTTAACTGGTGTGGAAATTGTCTCTAGGGACACCACTCACCACTCTCTTAGATGAAGAGTGTTAAAATTTGTTAGTATAGGAACAGTCCTGAATTTTCACCAATACTGCAGCAAGTCCAGAGTAACTGATTCTTATGGACTGAAGTTTTCTACTATGTTTATGGCTTGACTTCTTAAATTCGGGAAGTGTGGCTTCTCAAAGCTGCCCAAGCCTTAGTTCTGGATCAGTAACTTGCAGACAGTGTCTTAAGATCCCCATTTGTGAATACTACTATAGCAGGTCATGATCTGCCCACTTTTTTTTTTTTTTTTGGCTGTAGGAAGAAATGGCTTAGGGCAACTATGAGAGAATTTTCTGGATTCTGAGATCCAAATTCTCATTTGGTATGAGACCTAGTAAGTGACTAACATCTAATGTAGAGCTTCAGTTTAAACCAGGGTTTCTTAACCTGAGCATTACTGATTGACATTTTGGGCTTGATAATTTTTTGTTGTGGGGAATTGTCCTTCCTGCACATTGTAGCAGTATTCCTGGCCTTTATTGGGTGACTGTAGCTCCCTTCCCTTCATCAGTGGCAGTCAAAAATAAATGCAGACACTGTCAAATGTCCCTTGGTTGAGAATCACCAATTTAAACTTTCTAAAATGGTGTGATATGGGTGGGTCAGATCGTTGACTATCTTTGGTAGAATTAGCCGTCCCCCCAGTATTGAGGAGCCTTACCAAAAAATGGTAAAGGGTTCTGGGCAGTTGAGAGTTACAAACGCTGCTGTTTACCATGTTGGAGTTTACTGCCCCCTTTGGACAGTGGAAACCTGAGGCTCGGATGCCACAGTACTCATAAAGCATTGTGGGGCAGAATTGAAGATCACTGAGAAATGTGCTACAGGGTGGAACTTGGTTTAACAATCCTGCTTTTTTGCTCTGTTGTTCTGATTGCTTGAGGAAATTAGGATGTACTTCTGTAGGTCAGTAGTACCACTGGCCAGTGGTGAGAGGCACATGCAGTGAAGTTAGGTTGTATTTAGGGAAACAACCTTTTAATGAACCCAGTTATTCAGAGAAAAGTATTTTTGTGCTTTATAAGTTCTGCCTTTTATTTTTGAAATAGCGAAGGGATAGTGGGACATCTTGTCTTGCATGAATAGCAAATTTGTTGTTTACAGGTTCAAATTGAGAAGTTTCTTTACATCTTTACATGAGAAACTAGCTCCCCCCCTAAAAAAAAATACTTCACCTCCAACACCTGTATATTTTCTGATTGGCCATTGAGTTAACTCTTAAGAAGAGAGATTTCCCCCTAAAAGGGGGATATGGAATTTCTCAACTGTTTCATACCCCAAAGGCAAACCGTAAATACACAGGGAGGAGTGAAGTTGCAGTTTGAGGTTCAGGAGAGACTAAACTTTAGTTTAGAGATTGGGTTCTTGGCTTGACTCCCCCGCGCATTCCTTTTAGAAATTTGGTGCAACTTTTTCAGGCACTGCTATATGGTCTGGAGAGAAAAGTGTAGTTTTCTCAAAATAGTTGCTTATGTTAATCTGTGTTATGCGTTTTCTGCCAGAAGAGTTTATGGTTTACTTGTTTTTGAGGGGCAGATCCCTAAGCCTTTGGGTCTAGTTAGTGTAAATGGTGAGGAGCACAAATGCAAATGTCACCAGCCTTAAGGCTTTCACCTGATCTTTAATGAAGAGCAGTACAAAGCTTACATGTTGTGCTAGTGGGGACCAGGTATCTGGTGAGTGATGAAGGGCTGAAATATTTATATCTGAAAGATCTGGGAAACGTGTGGTGCCTCTGACTAGCGTACAAGGAATCCCACCAGGAAGCAGGCAAGCTTTTCTTCTCTCCACGCTGCCATTTGTATCTTAAACTCATGACACAAGCTCAAGCTCAGCTCCATCCACGTTGCTGAATCATCTTTGTTGGTGAAGGTAAATTTTATTCTCAAATCTTTTTCTGTTTCATCTTGGGTTGATCATAAAGTAAGACTGCTTTGTAGTAAGGAGCTGTGGACTTGATAGACCAGGAACTTTTGGAAGGGAGACTTGATGAAATCTAGTAGTAGGTGAAGGGCTTTAGCTTTGAATGGAGGAAATTAGTTTTTTGTTTGTGGCAGCTGCTTCCTCTGTAGCAGTGGTATGTTGATTCCCAATAGAATTTCTGTACTAGGAGATCATTATAGATCATATGGTTCAGCGTTTCACTTTGTGAACTCCTGAAAATAATCCAGGTATCTTGCAATTAGATGGATTGTAATTAGATGAATTTCACAATGAATTTTATTTTAGCCAATAATTCAACTTAAATCTCTTTCTGGTTCCATGTTGGGATTCCACTGACTCATGAGCTTACAGCCTTGTGAAATGATGATTCAGTTTATCCATTCGCTGAGTGCGCTGCACTGACCTTCTTCCAAGCCTGGATTTCTGTTCTAGGAACTCTGGACTGCGTAGCCTCCAAATGCCCTGCAGTCTGCAGTGTTCTACTGTGGACAGCTTGTGTGTTGGTGGACTACCGGTAAGAATGGTTGGTGTCAGCAGGGATGGGTCCCTGTGGGTCTCATCTCACCAAGATGAGTGGTGGAAATCTGATCACTTGCTGCAGCTCTTTATCTAGTTGTTAAGCTTGTGGCTAATTTCCATAACTATTATCTATGTTAGTAGACTGAGATCTAGAAGTCTTTGGTTCTGTTGTCCTTGAGGACTATGATATGATACTGGCAGGCCTGAATTATAGGAAGGGGGGAGCCAGTGGTGGGGGGAAGGAGATGAACACATATACTTGTAAAAGCAGCTCATGTATTGCACACAGTCAATTCAATTGTTTTTCATGCACCAGTGCCTCAGGGATAAGTGGGATAGAACACAGACAAGTTTTGGTTACCTTCAGGGTGGGAGAAAATAGTGAGAAATAATTCAGTACCATTACAGTATTTGAGCCATAAAGAGGGGTTCGGAGAAAAATACAGTATTAGAATTTCTTACAGAGCACTTCCTTTCTGTGAGCTGAAACAGTAACAAAGTAATATGTTTCATAAGTATGTATCATGTGAGTCAGTTTTCAGAAATTACTGCAAATCCAGTGTGTCTGCCGTAGAGCATTTTTGGATTTATTTCCTCACTAGTGAGTATTGGATTAGGCAAGGTATCCGTACCTGTCTAGCTGAAATATGGCCTGGTTGTTTCTTGCCTGTTCTGGCTCCATGCTGCTTACAGACCATTCAAAGATTATTTGTCGTATTGGCCCTCTCCCTGGTAGGGGTCTTTAGTACCTTAGCCATTGGGTGAAGGGAAAGCAAAGCAGAATCCTTAGGAGAGAAACAGTTTGAAGGAGAGGCACACTGATGTAGCATGTGCTGGTTAAGTACATTTCTGCTTCGGGACTGGAGAATGGAAAGTCATTTCAGTGTATACATGCAGGCTTTTCTTCTATCTGCAGTAGTTTCCTTGCAACATTCAAATTAAGATGGAAATATAGGGGCTGGCATATTCAATTTCTTGCATGTATACAAAACTCGTTAGACTTAAGTGGCTATTCAACTAGACCCCATTCTAGCAGATCAGAGTTACTGTGGAGATGATTTCTTCCCATTGTGTTTGTCATTTGGCTATATGGCAGTAGTGTAAACTGGAGTCTGCAGCTGGCATAACATTTTTTATAATTTATGTATCTTCTTCTGTGGGTTCTGAATTTCTGAATCGGGCTTTCTGTGTCGTCCAGCCACAGAAGTGCTTTTTGCCATCTGTGTGCCACTTAACCTTTTGAAGAGGAGGCTTTGCAATGGCGTTAAATTAAAGTTGTGTACCAGAGTGAGTCATAAGTGAGATCTGGACCAAAAGTGGTCCTTAGCAGCTCAGAGCTTTGCAGATCTGTCCTGTAGCCAGTGTCAGGTGCCCCAACTGGGAGGTTGAAGAACAGGTGAGGGAATGCACAGGGATTGATTTAGTTTTTCTCCTTTTCGGCTCTCTTACCAAGCCTTCAGAATTCTTAAAACAGTTAAAATTTTGTTTTCTAAGTGAAGCAATGCTTGTTTACCCCCTTTTCTTCTCACAAAGGTCACTGTAATCCTTACTGTAAGGATTAGTCTGATAAGTATATTGGGGACTGAAACTCCATCTAAAACTTGGAGTATGTGATGTAGTGGTTTCTGTGGAAATCTACAAAAGAAAGTCTGTTTTAAAACTTAACATTGCGCATTGGAGAGTAAATGTGTTTTAAATTTGATTCTCACCGGTGACCTAAGGGAATGGGAAAGGGAAAGTTAACCCGCCTAAGGTTAGAGGCGCCTAAGGTTAGAGTCCGTTCTGAAGCCTGCCTCTCCTGCCTGCCTCTCCCCGCTGCTTTAAACAGCTGTCCCAGTCATTTTGACACCTGTGGCCCAGGTCAGACAGTGTTGGCCAACAGGGCTAAGGCAGCACTCTGGGCACTTACTTAGACTAGGGGACAGAGATGGTGAGTGGGCGAAAGTGTATGGAGGCATGTCACCCACTTGCTGTATCCTCCACCCTGTTGATTATTTAGCAAGTACTGTGCCATGGGGCTATGGAGTGTTGGTTCTGTTGACCAAGCAGAAAAAGGAATGCTGAGCTTTTAATCACAGTTGATGCTTCCGGAGTGAGGAGACAGTGCTGACTTAGAAGCTTTAAACATTTCACAACTTTTTACTCCTTGGTGATTTATGGGCTTCATTATCTGGAGGGTTATCTTGCTACAATACAAGAAAGTTCCTTTGACTTGTGAATAGGGATCATTTGAGTTGGTGATGGTCTGCATACTCAGAATTTTGCCACCATCCTTTTTCAGACAATTCTTTGAGGCCCAAATGCAGACTTTTTCGTGTTATCTGTTGTGGGTTTTTTTTTTTTTAATTGTTTGTTTTGTTTTTGTGGTGGGGTGGGAGTGTTTAGCATGTCAGGTGGTGGGATTGTTGAGTCCCTTCCTAGGGTGGTATATTTAGGCAAAAGTGATTACTGCTGGAGAAGCTGGGTGCTTGGCATCTTGTTATAGTGCAGTCTTTCCAAACCTCTAGTGGTTTTTGTTGTTTTGTGTTCTCATCACACTCTTAGACTAAAAAACAAAATATCTTTGCTGACAGGAAGATAGTAACACAGTGAATGACCTGGGCTGTTATTTCTGTATGGTTGGAGGTGTGGGAAAGAGGTGACATCTGATGTTCGCTGGTGAAGTCCATCGCCGCTTTGACTGGTGCTTCAGTGAGCCCCGTTTACTAGATTACATTCCCCTTGGGGCTTCCAACCCTAATTCCCAAGGCAGTCCTTGTGGTGCTTGCGGGCTCACTGGGCTGGGAGTGAGCTAAAATGGAATTGACAGTACGTTCAGAAATTGAGAGACTGTCGGAAACCAGGATTTGTGACCTCGTTAGGAAATGGAATCTCAGGAAACATGGCTGTTGTTGCTGAACTCAGGGAAATGCACCTTAGACACGGTCCCTGGGTCGGCCCCATCTTTCCACCAGTAACCTGACCCACTTTATTCGTGTACTGACTCTTGACGCGTACAAACATGAGATCAGTGGGGTGGCCAGTATTCTCTGCAGTCAAATTTAGTGTATATTTTGAGGTCTTTTTGAATGCTGCATTTGCCCAGTGGTAAATTATCAGAAGGAAGGAAGCTTTTATCAGAAATATGTCAGAGAGTCACAGCTGTGATAAAGTATCCCTGACCTTGAAGCTTTATCTTTCTTTGCAGAGATTTCATAAATGGACATGTGAAAATTAAGCCAAACAAGCAAATATTTCATAGGAGTCATCACGAGTTCACTTGGAAGATGTATTTAGGTTGACATGTAAGGAACTGTTAAGTATATTGTGATCTTAAAATACTTGATGTTAAAAATCAAGTTCTGGTGGCAAGAACGTGAGCCTTAGTTCTTAGAGGAAAGCCGTTGTTCTAAGGGCTCACTCTGGTTTTTGCAATTAAAATTTTTTTCTTGGTCACAGTGCTGAGGGAAAAAGGGAAGTACTGATAGTTTCTGAGATACTACGAAGGAGAGAGAAGTAATCCATGTGTTCTTAGAGAATATGTTTAATCTTTTCATACCTAATAGAACCAGTTTTTCTATTTTCAGAAGTTCATCAGTCTTTGGTCTTTTTATTTTGAAGAAAGGAATTCAAAGGGAAATTTAAAGGGAAATACTCAGGATTCCGTGTTCTCTCATCCTCTTAGCTCCAGTCTTCACTTGGCATTTTCCTTAATAGTCTAGAGGGTTCTGGCAACTTTAGCACTAGTTTACAATTGGGGGCTGGGGGAAGGATGAGATGTTTAATCCCTGCAATCTCTTATTTGTGTCAGGCCTTCAGATCCACTGTCAGCTTGTCTGTCTTAAGAATGAAAGAATTGATCATATTTTAGTTTCAGTAGGAAAGCTTTTTTTTAAGGAAGACCATTTTAACCACTTTTTCCTACAGTCCACTTCTTCCAAGAATTCTTTTTAAACAGGCAAAACTGGAGTTGGATATTATTTTCCTCTGAGTTTCCAACTAACAAAAATCATTTACTTTTGTTTCCAGGGCAGTGCTCACACTTCTTCCTTATGTGTTGTAATCGCAGTGGAATTCTGATAATTAAGGCCTTTGTTGGTTTTTACAGTTCACTTCTTGTGTCTAGATTTCTCATCTTCTTGACAGTCCCTGAATATCAATAGGTCCACTCTTGAGTGGATTTTTATCTCTCCACGCAAGATCCCATACCACCTGACTGTGCTCTGTACTTCCAAGTTTTCCCAGCCTCTAACTTTCAGATATACGTATAGTCTGTTAATGCCTCTTGAATGTTCTTGTAATTTGGGCATTTATGTAAGAAGTTCAAGATTTCATTCTATCCAGTTGAAGCCTTCTTATTCTTAGTACAGTTCTTCAAGTATTTGGTTAAATGTATTTTTCATGTACACATAAAGTATGTAATGTACATGATATTAGAATTATGTAGTTGCTTTGTTTAGATTACAGGAATTCATTGGACCCACCCATGCATTTAAGAGCAGGTTTCCCCACAGTTTCAAATACTATCTCAACTTTGTTCTAAGTAGAACAATAGAAGTCTTGTATAGACTGCTTTTTAATTACTAGCTCCCCATTTTTGGAAGGATACTTTTTAGGACTAAAATGAACTTGAGACTAATAGCCAAAAAATGTATTTCAGCTGAGATCTGTGTCAGTGGACCTGAATGTTGATCCCTCGCTTCAGATTGACATACCTGATGCACTCAGTGAGAGGGATAAAGTCAAATTTACAGTGCACACCAAGGTAAGTGACAGAATGACTTCAGTAATAAAAACAGTGCCAGGTTGCAGCCTTGTTATTCACAGTGGGTGTGAGAAGAGACCTAGTGACCTGAGTGCAGTGTGGCACTCCTGCTAAGTGAGGCCCCTCCCTCCGCTTGCTCCTAGTAAGCATGAGATGAGTGCTCTTCTTACAGCATTTTCTACTGTGGTGGAGCCCTGGGGCTGTGGGCTTTGCTAGTGTTTAGTGTGGCTTGTGCTCTGCTCCGTGGGGAAGCAAACCAGGCAGAGCGACAGAGCTGGAGCCACCTGCCACAGAACTCCACCTTTGTTTTTTTTTTTCTTTTTTTGGCGTCCCCGGGTGGGCCCGAACCTCCACCTTTGTTTTTAATTTGCATGCGTGGGAAGTGCTTGCTTTTCCCATGTTTACTAAGTTCTTGGCCGTCACCACACCTATTATGATTCAGAAGAGGTTTTTTTCTTCCAGATCTTTAAAAAAATTTACTTTGAAGTATAACTGATTTGTAATGTGTTAATTTTTCTCCAGATTTTTAATTTGACAAAAGCAATATGCCAATCTGTGAAAAATATAGCAAGTTTAATTTCTTGGGATATTTTCAGGAACATTTTTAGCCTCCTTTCTCCTTCCATACTAGTTAAAATGTATTGAGTGCTTGTTTTATGCCAGGCACTTTTGTAAAGGGTTTACATGGGCTTAATTTTCTCTTTCTAACAATCTTATGGTATTCTGTTATCCCCATTTACAGGTGAGGAACTGAGGTACAGGTTTAAATGAAGTAAATGGCTGAGGCACAATTTGAGTCAGGAAGTTTGAAGCTAGAGCTCTTGGTTTATGCCATCTCCAGCATAATATTGGTAATATGTTGTCTATGAGGTCCTCTCCCACGAGGTTTTCTCTGCGTACCTTGGTGGCTTGGTGGTATTAACATACCTGTCACTCAGGCAGCGTGAGGCCTACGTGATTATATCTGAGTTGACCTGAAAGGTGGAGTTGTGTAACTAGAATTCCATAAAGAACGTGTTGAATCTTAGCTTTGTTCTTTATTGGATCTCATTAAAAAACTGGATGTTCTATTATGCAGAATTTTCCCATAGTGCACTGCATGAAACCCAAGCCACTTTATCTGAAAATAGTAGTTAACAGTCACTTCTTTTTTCTTTACAGACCACGCTGCCCACGTTTCAGAGCCCAGAGTTTTCTGTTACAAGGCAACATGAAGACTTTGTGTGGCTACATGACACTCTTATTGAAACTACAGACTACGCTGGCCTTATTGTAAGTACATTTTGGGTAATCAGATAATTACTGAAGCCAATTTTTTCTACCTTGCTGTTCATTTTGTTTTGAGAGACTTTTACCCACTTTTTTTAATAATAGATTGTGAAAATAGTCTGATTTCATTTGTCAACTAGAGTATGTGTTAGCTATTACTGGTAAAATCTAAAGTATGTGAAAATAGCATTTTAGCTGTAAGATGAAGCATAGTCTTATATTCTGTACAGTAAAAGAGAGTAAGCGGTTTCATGGTGTGAAGTCTTGTCTACCTTTGGGTTTAGCATTTCTCTGGCATTTCCTTTCAGCCATCAAGTGGAATTGATCTCTGCTGGTGGTAGTGTGTGCTGGGTTTCTCAGGTGTGTTCTGCTAAAGGCGTAAAGGGGGCAGTTGTCTTTGTGCTTGGCCCTTGAAAGTTAATGCGTGGCTCTGGGAAGAGACTTAGCTGATTTTATTTATTTTTATGTTTTGGCTGCACTGTGCAGCTCGCAGGATCTTAGTTCCCCAACCAGGGATTGAACCCGCACCCTCGGCAGTGAAAGCACAGAGTCCTAACCGCTGGACTGCCAGGGAAGTCCCTTAGCCGATTTTAAAGGAGAGAGAAACATGGCTTTTCCTGCCAGGCCAGCTGAAGAATCTGGCCAAATAGTTAAACAAAATCAGTACTGAAGCTTATGTTTAAGAATGTCCACACAAAATTAGAATCTCTTATCCTCTGGAATAAATTCCTTTATAAATCCAGAGATTATTATCTCCATCTTACTTCATTGGCTTCATTTTAGCATTGATTGTAATATATAAATTAAACTGACAATTGAAGCAGGATAAACTGTCACACCTACCAACTGTCCAGTGATTAACCGAACAAATGATTGCAGTCAAAGTGAGTGCCCATTGTAGGGGACACTTCTTTTAAATGGCCGAAAGGAATAAGGTTAAGAGAAAAGTGCAAGTTGATTTTCAGGCAGCCCCACTGGGCTCCCTGCCTCCTGTGCACAGGCACTGAGTTGCACATCTCGGGGGCAAGAACCCTCACAAGTTACTGCCTTGACTGCAGATTCCGCCCGCGCCTGCAAAGCCTGACTTCGACGGCCCTCGAGAGAAGATGCAGAAACTGGGAGAGGGTGAAGGGTCTATGACCAAAGAAGAATTTGCCAAGATGAAGCAAGAGCTGGAAGCGTAAGTGCATTTTCTTGATGGGGGCTCTACCCTTTGAGAATAAAAGTGGTGATGTGTGCAGAAACAAGAATCTGACAGCTAATTTCAGTTAATTAGTTACCTGGCTATTGTCTTCTCAAACCGCGTTTTGCAGAGTGTGGGTGAAGGGGCCTGGTCTTTGTACTTTAGACATTGATTCCCTGGGACTGCTGACGCTGAGTAGATGTTGGTTCTGTCTGTAGACCATGCTTGTCATGGAGTGTTGGTCTGGCATAAAGTGAAGAACTAAACGTTTGTCTTTATATATAAACAAGTCTTCAGGCTGTGATAATGTACAAAACTTTCTTCCCTGAAGTTTGTTTAATGGAAGTATAGTTGAAACTAGATGGCAGTGAGTGCTGCTACAAAGAAGCATTCTAAGAATAGCTACAGCTATGGCTCTTTTAATCTGGTTGTAATTCTTTCAAAGAAAAATGGATTCTTTATTCTGTATCACAGTTGGAGGTTTGCATACAGTCTCTTATGACGCCATCCTTGCAATTCTTTCCGTTGGCTCCCTCCCTCCTTCGGGGTCCATCTCAGGGAGTCTCTTCAGCACTCCGCCACAGGCCCGTTAGCCTGGTACCCCGTGGACAGCTCTGAGGATAGAGCGCTGAACACAACAGACAAGTTCCTACTGTTGGGAAGTTTAGAGTCATCTCTAGTGTGTAGATTAGGATGAAGCCACTTAGTAGTTTCTGATGGTTCCAGGCTTTGTTAGACTCAGTGCTGTGTACATGGCTGCAAAATTAAAGGGTTTTCATGGTTTTAAAGAAGCCAATGTTTTGTGCTTAAGTACACGTGGGTTTGGGCTTCATAGGTGTACCCTATCAACTCTGGTTATATCGCTTCCCCTTTCGGTGGCTGTTCCACAGATTCCAAAACGAGAACTGCCTTATTACCTAGTTGGATGCTACATTATACCAAGCTGCTTTGGGTCCAGTTGAGGTGTTCTGCGTGGCTGCAGGAGCAGCGCAGTGAGGTCCCAGGGAGCAGTGTTGGGTGGTCAGCTGAGCTGAGGCCTTGTGCGCTTCTCTTCCAGTGAGTATCTCGCGGTCTTCAAGAAGACTGTGTCTTCCCATGAAGTCTTTCTTCAGCGGCTCTCCTCTCACCCTGTTCTCAGTAAAGATCGCAACTTTCACATTTTCCTGGAATATGATCAAGATGTAAGGCATTTTTATTCCATTTCCATGATCCAGTTAAAATGTACAAAGAATATACTTGATATATTTTCTGAAAAATTGACTTTCAAGGTTGAGTTTCTTATCAACACAACAGAATCCTTTCTTAGATGCTCCTCTCCTTGCCCACCTCCCCCAGGGCAATAGATCCAATGTGTAAGGCATTTTTATAAAATGTTGCATGTAAATATTTTGACCTTTTTCCCCTCAGTTAAGCTTGGGATTATTTGAAATAATTTAAGTTGATCCACATTTGTTTTTTTCATTGAAAGGGAGACATATGCTTGCTTTTTCACAAAAACACGTTACATTTCTTGCTGTTTAATAAGTATGAGGCAAGCCCTGACCTGGGCATTTCCTCACAGGTCTTTTAACCAGTGAATAATCAGCATAACAGCACAGTAATTCCATCAAGAATTTAAAGGCACTAAGACTTGATATTGATACCTAGATAGTTTTTCAAAATATCTCCTAAGTCACACTTTTAGAATTAGAACCTGTGCTTAGATTTAGCTGTTTATTTGATATTTTAGATCTGTTGTTAACGATGGAATTAGAGGTATCTTAAGTGTATACTTACACTAGTAAACAGTTACTTGGAATGTGTTCAGGACTTGATGGGAAATATATGTACCGTTAACCGTTTTGGATTTCTCCTTAGCTAAGTGTTAGGCGGAAAAATACCAAAGAGATGTTTGGTGGCTTTTTCAAAAGTGTGGTGAAAAGTGCTGATGAAGTCCTTTTTTCAGGAGTTAAGGTAAGTGGCCTTTAGCTGTTTGAGAAAATTCTTCTCTTTGTGTGAATAGGTGACCTTTTGTTTCTTCAGAATAGATATTTGTAAAACAAATGGTATTAGCTTCTCAAAAATGTAAATAATTTTTTTCAAATTTGATTATTTTTATCTACTCATTGAATTTTCACTTATTTTCCAAATATACTCCCTTCTTTCCCAGGAGAAGGGATAAGAACCTTTCCACACTTAAGTCTTCATTTTCTCATTTTCTGTAAGGAAAGTTTACTCAGTTATTTTTTTAAAAAAATAAGCTACAAGACCAGTATTTCATGCTATTCTCCAGAATTGTACTGTCCCCTGGTAGCCCCAGCCTCAGGTGGCAATTGAGCACTTGACAGATGCAGTTGGCTGGTGTAATAAAGGAACTGAATTTTATGTTTTGTTTACATGCTGGATTTCAAGGACTTGATAGGAAGAATGAACCATAAAATATGGGTTTTACCTGTTTCTTTTTATAATGTGGTTACTACAAAAGTTTTAAGTGGCACGTGTAGCTCACATGTTTCTATTGGACAGTGCTGTTCTAGAACATCAAATAAATGTACAAGTTTCTCACTAGCCTTGTAGGTGTGGTTTATTTCTTCACTCCTCAGTGCCCCTCCCTTCTACCATAACAGTTACTGTCTGGTGTCTGACTGCCACTTGAGGGCTGGAGTAGGGAGCCCAGGGCGTAGGTGCTGAGAAAGACAGGGCGTTGTCAGAAATGTGGAAGCTCTGGGGCTGTCTCTGGCACAGCTGAAGGTGTGCTGTCCCCACGCATTGCGGGGGCGTTTGGCATCCTTGGTCAGTGCCCACCAGATGCCAGCGTTGCCTCCCAGTCTGGAACTGAACACATTTGGCAGGTGCAGGTATCCGAGGCGAGGAAGCCACCCACCGGGCGGAACCACTGCTCTAGTGGAATTGCTGGAGGTTAGAGAGGATGCTGAGTTTTACTGGGCTGTGCTAAATGGCTCTTCAAAATGATTCTCTCTGTTGACATTTCCTGCCAGCATTTCACTTTTCCTATTCCCAGGTATAAAAAGTGCATTTCAAAAAAAAATTATTTTTATTTCCCTAGTCTTTAGAGGTTAAACTTCTTATGCATAAGCTTATTTAGTGTTTTTTTCTAACATAAAATACATATTTGTAAGAAGTTTTGCTTCTTAGACCTCTTTTCCTTCCCTTTAGGAAGTAGATGACTTCTTTGAGCAAGAGAAGCATTTCCTCAGTAACTATTACGATAGGATCAAGGGTTCCTGTGCAAAGGCTGACAGAATGACCAGCGCTCATAAAAGTAAATACGTTTGCCCATTAGCCCCTTAGTCTGCTAATGTGCCAGCTCTGCTCACATAAAAGGGCTATCCTTGTTCCTGCAGATGTAGCAGACGATTACATCCACACCGCAGCCTGCTTGCATAGCCTGGCTTTAGAAGAGCCCACGGTCATCAAAAAGTAAGTTTTTGTTGGAAGACATTTTCTCTAATCCCCTAATTGAAAACTGTTGGGTGGTAAAATGGGTAATGACTACATAGGTTCAGTTCCGCTCTTGAGCCAAGCCCATCTTGGATCGACCATAGTCTCCAGCACTCACTTTATACTATATACCCTCTGAACATAAATACTTGTAAGACGTTTGTAGGGGACTCAGGGCACTTCTGTACCAAACGTGGTAGTTGTTGTCAAAGCCTTTATTTCTGTCAAACTTACATGTGTCTGTTGTCGATTATTTTGATTTTGGAATTGTCTTTGAGAGAAGTTTGCTTTGTGTTTTCTGGCAAATGGTGCTTGCACTTTACTCGGTATTGCCCTGGGCTGACTTGAAGAGATTTGGTTAAGGTGGCCATAAGGGTAAAGTAATGACCCCAGTCTGATTTTGAGCATTTTTTTATATTAATTTTTCACAGTTTCTTCATTCTAGTTATTTCTGGTGTGAGATGGTATAGTTGGCCCCTTCCATATCTGTGGGTAGCTTCAAACAATTGCAGATCGAAAATACTTGTGTTTAAATTCCAGAAAGTTCCAAAAAGCAAAACTTGAATTTGCTGTGCATCAGCAACTATTTGCATAACATTTATGTTGTACTTAGAACTATTTACATAGCATTTACGTTTTATACGTGATAAGGAATCTAGAGATGATTTAACATACACAGGAGGAGGGTGTATGTGTGTTATATGCAAACACACCATATAGATAAGGGACTTGATCAACTGTGGATTTTAGTCTCTGTGCTGGGTGGGCACTGTATCCTGGAACCACCCCTCGCTGTTACTGTCAAATGACTGTTCTACTTACACTTAGGCTTGGTCTAGGGGGCGTTAGTATTTCAGACTTGAAAATGGGAGTCAGGCTGATGGCAGAACCAAGACAAACTGTAGCGTATTTATGGCTTAGAACCTGACCTTGGCTAACACAAGTTTAACAGCGGATAAAAACTTCGGGACACAGGTTCTGCACAGCAAGGTGGCTGAGGGGCAGCAAGAGAGGCCAGTGCCGGTGAGCATGGCACTGGAAATGTGCTCGATTTTGTAACCGTCTTCTCTGCTAGTTTGGGCCACTTGTGATGAAAGCATTGCTTTGATAAGTTAATTCTAAAGCGCCACAGACTGGGACTCCTGAATTTGCCCATTCATGTCTTAGAGCATTGATAAGATCATATTTCATACATGATTTAAGACCGTAAGCCAAAATCGTGTATATTTGCAGGTACCTATTGAAGGCGGCTGAGCTATTTGAAAAACTTAGGGTAAGGATTTTTATGTTGGTCTTCAAAGTATGTATTTTATAATCTGTAGATTTCTACTTAGATGATGGTGGCCTTTGATTTTTTAACAGAAAGTAGAGAGTCGAGTCTCCTCAGATGAAGACTTAAAGCTGACAGAGCTCCTCCGATACTACATGCTCAACATAGAGGCTGCTAAGGTGAGGGAGTTCTCCCAGAAGAGGTCTGATGGTACAGATGTATTCTCTTTGTTAAAAATGAAAGAAGATGGGAATTTGTCAGGATTGTTCATGTAAGTGATGTCGGCCTAAATAAAGAAGTAAACTGAGGCAAGCTCGAGTTTCTTCAGGAGTAGCAGAGGAGTTGCATGCAGTGTGGGAAACACTGTAGCAAGCCACAGGAGAGTCCATTGAGGGTGTGGGGTGGGATGTATTTGGGGGCAAGGAGTGCAAAGAGGAAGAGTCTTTGGCAGTAAGGTGGTTGGCGTGAAGGAGCTGGTCCCCAGCAGTAAGCTCATTGGCTGGTGTTCACTGGTCAGGAGGTAAGTCTGGGTCTCCTGTATATCAGGTGTTTGTGGGAAGTCAGTCTCTCAGTTCTTAAGTTGTATAATTATATTCTGAGGGTGCAGGTGTATATCCTCCAGTTCCATTTTAGTTCCATTGAAATCATCTCACAGTGACGTGCCTTTTTTGTGACATTGTGTCCTTAGTTTGCATTGCTTAGGAACATAGGGGCAGTAGGGCTGGTGCTGAGTAGACAGGTAATGGTTTGGGAGATTATATGCTGTTGGATGCAGAGATAACCGGACACATGCCAAAGGGGCTATTTCTGAGGCAGAAAAGGCTTTGGGGTTGTGATCTTATTGAATTGCAGTTGTCACTGCAGCCTTTGAGTCATAGAGCATTACTTAACCAAAAGCAAGATGAAGTGGTCAGCAGAATGACCTTTGGGAATGGAGCGTGCATTCTTCACTGTCTACACTGTCCTAAAGAAAAATGTTTAAATTATTTTTATATGAAATATACTAAACCTGGCAGCATAAAATTAGGTAGGGAAAATATCTAATGGGAAAATATCATCAGGAAGTAGAAATTCATTCTTTCCCCCATAGTTTAGTTTTATTTTAGGTGACTTGTCTTGTGACATGTTTTCTTAGGGGAAAAAATCCTGTAGTCATCACTGTTTGGTTCCTTCTCTTGATCTGTATAAAGAATGCTGGAAAGGCCATCAGCAATGCATTAATAAGCACTGCTATTACCAGCCTAATGTTGAGATTTAAAGCGGGGGCGGTGCAGGAGGTGGTTGATGTCTGACATTTTAGGCAGTGCCCCAAGGTACTTGTCTGTTTTTTAGAGTACTTCAGATAGTCTTCCTGTTCTGTTCTAGGGGTTTTTCGGTATAGGTTTAACTACCGTGCATCATATCTGTTAATTTTCTTCTCAGGATCTCTTATACAGACGCACTAAAGCCCTCATTGACTATGAGAATTCAAACAAGGCATTGGATAAGGCCTGGTTAAAAAGCAAAGACATCAGGCTAGCTGAGGCATACCAACAGGAATGCTGCCAGAAATTTGAACAGCTTTCTGAATCTGCAAAAGAAGGTTGAGTGGGGCCACTTTTTATTTACTTTTTGCTTTTTATTAGGAAATAATCTCAAGCTTACAGAGAGAAGTTGCACAAATGGTACAGAGAACACCCATACATCCTCTGCCTTGTCACTTGCACACGTACATGTGCTCCAACTTGTGTGATTTTATAAACATATCTGGGTTGTTTTTTTTTTTAACCATTTGAGATTACGTTGTATCTTTCTTAGTCGTTTTATCCCTGAAAACTTCGCTGTGTTTCTCTTACATCCCTACAGTACAGTTACCAACTTGGGTAACCTTTGATACAATACAGAGTTGTCCCCTCCCCCACTCCTCCAGGTCAGCACTTGGTGCTGTTTATCCTTTATTAACACAAGCCTTCCCTTCTCTCCCATGTTTTTTTTTAATCATCTTCATTAGACTCATGGATTCCTGTTTTCAGAAAGTTTTAAAATTCATGACTGTACAAAGTTATTTTGGTGTTCATACTGTCCAGACTGAGCCAGTGAGAGTGCCTTTAAAGCTGGCGTGTCCTTATGACACCCCCATATTTTTGAGGATTAGATGTTTTGTGCTAATCTTAGACCTTTTCTACTCCAGCCATGAAAATCGCCATTTCTTCCAGGAGCCCAGATTGAGTGCTACCTACGTGTGCTCATTTCTTCTGGGGTGCCTCTGCTTCTAGACCTTTCAGCCAACAGTGGGGAATATCAGGATGTGTGCATACACGTATATACTCTTCAGGGATCATGAGTCTGTGATAATGACTCAGTTGTATTCCATCTCCACAGGGTTGGTTCTTGCCTTCTACCATTCCAGAGTAAGGGGCTTTTAAAATATAATTTAGGACTTCCCTGGTGGTCCAGTGATTAAGACCCTGTGCTTCCAATGCAGGGGGCACAGGTTCAATCCCTTGTCAGGGAACTAAGATCCCTCATGCCACACAGCATGGCCAAAAAAATAAAATTGGGAGATGGTGTACCATGTCCATTGAACATGAGTGTACTAGGTAGTCTTTTCCTTAGTGGGGAGCTCCCTGCCCTGAAGTTCTTAGGGGCCATGGAACATGCCAGAGCAAAAAGTAAAGACTGTGTCTTCCAGAATGTGAATGTAAATTAGAGTGGACACTTGATTCACCCTCAAAACACCCTCCCCCTTCAAAACTCAGGTTTCCATGTGGAATCCATATCTCATTATAAGACTGTTTCCTCAGAACTTCCCCCTCCTCTGTGGCACTGCAGTCCCGGTGTATCTGGAAGAGCTCTGCTCCTTTGTCTTGGCTTCTCTCTGTTCAGGACTCCCGGTGCCCTCACTGAGGGACAGGGCTTCTCTGTACAGTCTTTGCAAATGGCCTGCAGACATGCTCCCGTGACTGCTCTTTGTATTCTTTCAGAGGAACCTCTTTCTCGCTGCACTGTAGTTTAAATAAAAATTCTAGCTTTTTTTAAAAAAAAACAGCTAATTTAAATTTATAAGGAAAAAGAACACTTCAAAACTACTGAGTTGAAATCCTAGGTTATTATATAGGCCAGAGTTAGTGGCTTTGAGAATTTTTTTTAAAGAGAAGCCACAAAGCTTTACAATGGTGCCAGATTAGGCTTGTCTCTATTGCCCAAGGTTTGTCCCTTTGTTGTTTGATCTTATCCGCCTTATTCAAAATGTAAGCCTGGGTGTACACTATTTAAAAGTGCAGTACTCTGTAGAATAATGAGATAAATGGCTCCTAGCCTTTTTGTCTTAGGTTGAGGTTCTAAGGTTGTGGCTGAATTGATGGGAGCTCTTGTAGAAGCACAGGGCAGTGGGCAGGTGTCCTGGGAGACAGATGGGTCAGCCTGGAGTTCTGGTCCTGGTGGGAAGGAGAAGAGCTTATTTTGACATCTGACAAGACCAGCCTGATACATGCGAGTTACTGTCGTTAACATCACTATACATTTTTTGAGTTTTTATTTTTTAATGTGGCTGCTTGTATTACATTTCTGTTGGATGGTGCTGTGTAGACAAGATACAGAACTCTGAGCACCAGCTTAAGCTAAGGGAGGATTTTGATCACAGGAATGATGGTGAGAGCTGCAGGGTAGAGCCTGAGTTCACAAGTGTGTGGAAGGAATCAGAGGGAGTCTGATAGGACAGTGATCCTGAATTTTCATGATGGATATAGACACAAAGGTGGCATGTTCTGTAGAAATAGCCACAAAAAAGCAGTTTTCAAAGTTTAAAAATGATCCATAAAAAAGGTCATTGGTGCAAGTATGTGTGGCCCACTACCTCCCTAGCCCACCCTCCACAAGCGCTGGTTCCTAGAGGGAAAGGGCAAGGCAGCTCAACTCAGAAACCGCCAGGTGTTCAGGGGCCATTCTTGGTGACTGGGGGTGTGTTCCAATGGCAGAGATAACAAAAATGTGAGAAAATGTGGTGTAGGGTACCAAAGCTTTGAAGATCATTTTATTTGTAAGAATGGTATTTGGAAGTTAAGGATGAAGATTGTTCTGTTTTTCTTGGTAAACTTTGCTTTGTAGAGCTAATCAATTTCAAACGCAAGAGAGTGGCAGCATTTAGGAAGAATCTGATTGAAATGTCTGAACTGGAAATAAAGCATGCCAGGGTAAGTGTTATCTTCAAACTAAGTCAACTTTGGGGAGTCTTTTTCAAGTTATTTACCAGTTCACTATTCCAGTGTCATCAAGCAGATGGCATTTGCTTTGTGGTTTTAATCCCCTGAGGTGTGGGTGGGAGCCACTTGTCAGAGTATTTTTTCCACTGCAAACCAAAACTCCGTATGTCTTGATGAAATACTGCTTTTTGAGAAGAGCATTCTTGGTGGCGGTTACCCGGCTTCTCTCTTGACGTCCTTGCGGGCCACACCCTGAAGGAGTTTTTTCCAGTAATTCGTGAGCATCCATCATAGATTTATAAGCTCTTCGTTATATAGAGTTTTCATGGAAGATTTTTTTTTTAAGTAGTTTTCTAATTTGCTAAGTGTCTTCTGATATTAATTCCCTTTTGGTTTAAAAAGGAGGAAAACTTCCTCATAATGTCTGTAGCATAATTTAGCCCAGAAAAGATGGAGAACAGTGGTTCTCAGTGCTAGAGCATATTAGAATCCTACTGGGGAGCTCTTAGGGGATTTTGGTTTTTGTTTTTTTTTGTGCCCAGGCTCATTCACTCAGGGTTTCTGGGCTCTTTGGGTGGTTCCTGGGTACAGCAGATACTGAGCCTCAGGGTGCTGTCTGAGCCAGGGAAGTCAGGTCACTGTCACTGGCCATCTGTGCTGGTTAAAGCAGGAAGACTGAACATTTGTATGTATTTTGAATTCCTTTATTTTGACCACAACAGAGATGCTTACTCACTTGCCTCTTTAAGTCCTGCTGTATATATGACCTTTTAAATTGGAGTTTTAAAGTATCATTTATGGGTCATTTATGATAGTATTCTGAGTATTCTAGGTTTTTTGAATTCTTTTAAAGTGAGAACTTTGTACAGTATTTCCTGCCAAGTCCTATGTGAATATTTATCATTTGTAATCTCATTTATAATCTCACCCATAACTACTTTTTAGCAACTTTTTATCCAGTCTTTCCAAGGCTTTCAAATACCACATTTAGGTTAAGTCACATGAGTGGGATTGGCATGAATGCAGTGGGAGCAAACCTGGGGTGTGGGGTGGAGGTGCTGAAGTGCTGACCAGACCTTCTGAGGGTGATGAAATCCCCAACGTGAAATTGGGATGAGGGGAACTGTGGTTCAGGGGTCATTGAGTGAAAAACAAGCACCTGGCCAGATGTCTTGTGACAAGTGAAGTCGGTGGGTCTGAGGTCCGTGCCTCACCAGTGCCCCGACGTCTGTCTTCTAGAACAACGTCTCCCTCCTGCAGAGCTGCATCGACTTGTTCAAGAACAGCTGAACGAAGGACGTGAATGTGAAGAAAGCCCGCATCACTTGCACTCAGATCATTACCACGGAAGATTTATTACCTTTGGCTTTACTTTAAAATTATGTGAATAAATATTTTGATTTCTGAAGATCTTAACACTTAACCATGTTGGTTCAGAAATATTTCTATTGCATGCTGCTTCGACATAACTAATCTTTACGCATTTAATACCTCAGAGTGGGTAGAATCTAAGTACTGGGTTCTCCTCTAATTTGTCTTTCGTAATTAAGAAAGGGTGCGGGAATCTTGCGCCTTCTGGAGTCTGTAAGCAGTGGTCTGGCACACACTGCCTCACTGTTCCCTGTGCCCATGCCCCTACAAACCGGTTACTTTAGGGCAGCTGCCAATTATAACGGATGAGTCAGCCGCTTGTTACAGGTAGGGGACATTCCATCTCTTCATTAGGTAATTTCCCCCTTTCTTACTCTCCTGGTTCTTTAATCACCTCGAGTTGTTTGTACTATAACAAGAGCAAGAAAAATCTCATATCTTTATATACACCCTTTGCAACTCCATTTTTGTAGTTGGGAGATAAATATTTGAGGGGAGAGAAGCATCTTAAGGGTATAAGAACAAGTAATAAGGCCTAATTTAGAAGGTGGTCAGATCTACATTAAGAAAGATGTGAACCCCCTACCTAATGGGGGGGGGTGGTATGTGTGTGTTTGGACTTTTTATAAAGTGTACAATAAAATAATCCATGCTCTACTATGGAGTGTTTTTGTGGGAAACAAGGCCAGGTGCGCCCTGAGACTGCAGTTACAGCTAAGCCTTGGGGGTGGTGAGGGCTTTAGTATCTGCCAAGCGTTGTCCCAGCCTCTGTTCTAATCTTAACAGTTTAGAAGACTACAGACCTGTTTTTAAGGGTATATCTGTCCCATCATTGGTGTGACTGAGCCTTAAGGTGGTGCCTGCCAGGTTTATGTCTATTGTAATTATTCGAAAGATACTTTGAGACTATGTAAAAAGTTTACCCACTGCTTTTAGCCTGTTTTAATCAGCTGTAACTGGTGTGAGGGTTGTAAAACTCTGGTTTTGGACACCATAGGTGACTTTTTCTGATGTTAAACTGATGCCGAAGTCTTGCCCTCACAGCCAGTTACAGTGACTGAAATTTACTAAACGAGCCTAGACACAGTAATTTCTGCTCCCTTCACGTAAAGCGTTTGGGAGGCGTGGTGCAGGAAGCGAGTGCATTTAAATAAGCTGTGCTCCAGTCTGGGTTCCTAACCACATCTTGGTTCCTGCACACCTGTCACCCCTGGATCCCCCTCAGTAACACAGGCGTCATGTGGCGTTGGGGTGTGCAACTCTGCCTAGTGTGCCTGGGTCACAGCTGGTCCCAGGAGTTCTGGCTATGGCTCGCCTTGCCTCAGCCCTTGACTGGGGGCCACTTTGGACTAGGTCTGTTGCTGGATGTGAAACAGGTGGTTGGGACGCTGGGGTCCAAGTCCCAGCCCTGCTTGGTGGCTAAGGGGGCACCCTTCTGAACCAGACAGATCTGTAAGGTGCAGCAGTGCTTAAAACTAGGTGCCCCTCAAGTTAATTTTATACGAGTGATCTCAGAGTGTGTTTACCTTCTGCACTAAAGTCTTCATGGGCCTGCTGGTCATTCATGAAACTGCACGGGGTTCTGGGCGGGTGAGGGTGTTTCTAGTCCTCCCCCCTTCCCTGCCCACGTCGTCCAGTGGAGGCATTGCTGCCTTTTCAAACCTGGACTCTTCTGAGGAGCCAGGCGACCTGGCTAAGAGGGAGCCAACGCCCTGATGCAGGAAGGCAAGGCTCGGTGTGGGCTGGGTGCTGACATCTATGTGCCGCCTGGGGGGCGGCGGAGGGTGCAGACCCAAGGGAGGGGCTACCTTGTGCAGCCTCAGCAGGAGGAGAGCCAAGGGGGAAACTTACAGCTGCCCAGGCACCTTCCAGGGGCACAGGTGGGCACAGGGCATTATAAAATGCTTTTCCTCAAGCCCATGGGTGAATTGGGGCCACTTCTGAGTGGTGTGTGGGAGGCTTTTGTTGGGGTGTTCTGAAAGCTTCAGTGAGTGTGCTGTAGGGTTGAGGATTGCTCTGAGAGACCTGGTGGCTAGTGACCCTTCTGTACCACATACAGTGCATGTCAGGTACTGCCTTTGAGGTTCATCTGAGGTGATGCCTAGACCCAGCTCTGTAAGATGTGGTTTCCATTTGGAAGTCACCTTGCACCGTCAGCTTCCACCTGTAGGGGCAGAGGCACCCAGAGCCCACACGTGCCCTCAGCTTGTGGGACAAAAGGGGCAGCCCGGTGTCTGCAGAGTTGTTTCCGATGGTTTCTTCCCAGAGCAGCAGCCCTCTCTGGGTGACCCAAGACACTCTCTGTTGCTGAGGCTGCTCCTTGGCGTTCTGGGACTGGTGTCAGACAGATGGGAGGTCATGGGTTCAGAGCTGGGCCGTGTGACAAGTCTGGAAGGAAGGCAGGGAGCACCACAGCTGGGCAGGGGCCGGTTATGAGCTTGAGAGACAGCAGGGAGCTGAGCGGTCCAGGAGGAGCCTCCCCCAGCCCTGTTCCCCATGCCCCTCAAAACAGATGCACGGCTCCCCTTGCTTGGGTGGGCAGAGCAAAGTGACTCCTTATTGCAGGTTTAGTTTGTTGCCATTCAAAAGGCATTTAATTTCTGTTTTTAATCTTTACTTCTGACTACCAAAAAGGAATTCAGACAATACAAACTAAACTAGGAAGTAAAAATCCTATTTTACCACATCCCATAAAAGTCAGTTAATATGTTTCTGATTTTCCCCCTACCTATGTAGGTAGTGTATTTTACAGAGAACGGTTCAGGATGCCAGAGTAGGGCTTGGTTTCTAGAGGTTCCTAACCGTTGAGTACCTTCTCTCTCCCTTTGGAATGGTCTCTGTGGTCCAGAGGCTTGGACACCTTTTGTTTCTTTGTCCTTCCACTGCCAGTCCCACCAGAAAGAGGGCAGGACCCCCTGGAGGTCAAGTGTGGAGGAAGTGAGGGTTTCTTGGCCTTCCCACCCTCGGGCGTCTCTTCAGCAATCTTTTTTACCATCCTGCAAAGTCTTCAATTGTTAAGCCAAAGACTTACATAGCCATTTTAGGAAGATTTTAATTTTAATTGGGTCTTACTTTCATGCTTTACAAAACCTCTTTTTAAAGCTTGTTAAATTGTGAGACCTGTAATCTTCAAAACACTCAGAAAAAAGGAGAGCCCATAATCCCAGCCCACAGCCATTTTATTTCTGATGGCTGCCTTCCAGCTCTTGCATTAATTTATCTGGTGCACCCTCAGCTGAAGGAGGATTTTTTAGCATCAGTCAAAGGGGAGAGGCTTGCGGGGTGGGGATAGGATTTCCGCTGAAGCTTGCTGCACAGATTATGTAGTGGAAGGCTGGCCAGATGCTTAACGTTTCAGGAACTATTTACTGGCCTCATTTTTTAACTGCCACTCTGCAGACTTGTCATTTTGGTGGAGTTTGGAGATGGAATGGAGATTGTGTGTCTGTACTTTGCCATGTCCCCTCACACTCCAGAATCACAGGAGGGGACTCTGCCTGCTCTGGATGATCAACCTAAGACAGGGCAAGATTCCGGGACAGCAAATTACAACGCTGCTGCTGGGCTTAGGCTAGTACCAATTTCCCCAGATTCAGGCCTGGTACACGTGCTAATTCCTGGCCTAGTGGTGGGAATTCCAACACCACAGTGGCTTGTCCTGTCTGAGGAAGGGAGGTTCCTGCAAAGCAGCTGAGCAGGTTGCTCAAGGGTGAGTCAGCCTTTGGCTCCAGCAGAGGCTCTTGGGGCCTCCCTGTCCTCGGGGTTGATCGTATCACGAGCCCATTTGGTCTTGTTGGGAGGCATGTGGCATGGATTTGGGGGCAGAAAAAGTGGCCAGAGGAGGGGGGGGGAGGAAAAGGGATCCTCAGGAGACGAGGGGAGAAGCAGCCAATGAGCGCCCACAAACAGGTGATGGATAAAGCCCATGTCGAGAGGGAAACTCTGGAAACGCCTGCTCAGAAGCCTGTGGGGCTTGTGCAAGTGTTTTTCTAGAGTCTGGTTTTTGTCTTTGGGCCTGTTCACACCGCCTGCAAAGCGCTTGTCCCACTGAGGGGGGGTGGGGACAGGCCAGCATGGGGTGCTGTCGCGAGGGTCCTTGTTGGGTAAGCAGAGAGGAGGTGGGCAGGGGCCAGGATTGTCAGGGAGCCTCTGCATCACCAGCACTGGCAGCCACGTGCTGGACGAGCTCACGGTCCCCCACTTCGCTCCTAACGTTTCAGTTTAAAAGCTGAATCTGATCATTACCCTCATCCACAAAACACCCTTCCAGGATGCCCCCATCTGATGCAACATAAAGGCGCAAGTCCTTCCAACGACTGCAAGACCCCACCTGATTGTAGACCCCACCCTGAGGTGGTATTTTTCAACAGGTGTCCACGTCCCCTGTGTGCTTCTGTAATGTGACTGCCTGGCACAGGAATTTAATTCCCCTCCCCTTGAACCTGGGCTGGCTTTAGTGACACGTTTGTAATCCATAGAATGGGACAGAGTGACACTGTGGGTGGGGTGGGGGTGGAACTTCCCGGTAGGGACCAGAGGAAGCCTTGCTCTCTCTCTTGCCTCTGGTCTCTGTCTCTGTCTCCAGCTGCTGTGCTGGGAGAAGCCAAGCCACATGCAGGAGAGGTCATGGATCCCAGCTAAGCCCAGCCTTCAAGCCATCCCAGCCCAGGAGGCAGACAATAGAACTTACCGTGTGATGGGAAGGTTCTGTCTGTGCGGTCTAGCGAGGTGCCTGTCGGCCACATGGTAGTTCTGGTGTAGAGAAAACACAGAACACCCTGTCAAATTGTTTCTGAATTCAACACTACTTATTTAGTGTAAGTATGTCTCATGCAATATTTGGAATATATTTATACCAAAACAGTTATGTGTTGTTTTTCAGATATCCAAATTTACTGGGCATCCTGCATTTTTATTTGCAAAGTCTGGCACCCGAAATGCAGCTAGTACAACTGAGGAAGTGACTTTTCTTTTTTCTTTCCCATGGCTTGTGGGATCTTGGTTCCCCAGCCAGGGATCGAACCTGGGCCACGACAGTGAAAGCACTTGAGT